TTTGCTAAGGGTGAGGTTTGTTCATTTCAAGCCCATTCCACTTGTGACAACTCTTATCAGGGCAACAACAGGGTGATTTTTGCCAAATACAAAGTTTTTTTTTTACCTTTCGTTGTCGTGTCATGAAGAAACTCACCACAACAGTTAACACATCACTCTTTCATTGCCACATAGCTTGCTGGGTTCATCCATATACGTTGACGGCTGATCAGAGCAAATCGCCAGTTTTATTTCTTTAAAAATAGCACTTAAGGCAGCAATTTCACCCTGTTGTCATCCCATCACAATTTGCCAGGTTGAGGGGTAAGGTTTTCTCGTGAATGTTAAAAATGTTTCTTTTGGTGAGGACCACTTTATCGTAATGGGTCAATGTTCTCATTGTTGTACTGTACTTCTAGGATGAGAGTGTTTTTTTGCGTGAGTTGTTTCAGGCCACAGCAAAAGCATCGCATCGATTAAACTTTAATGAAGTGACCGACAACTTCAAGACTCGCGCAACACACAGTCTGTCCGATAGCATCGGCCGTTCTCTGTACTCACCTGCCAATTCAATATCGAGCATTTAGGCCTTCGTACACCAGGCTGCACGGAAGCTTACTTGCAATCTTTGGGTCGCCACATACAGCAGATTTTGTGCAATTTAATCTCACGTGTACAGCTCTGCATGCTTATCTCACGGAAACTTGCTCACTCAATGCTACGTCACTACAGCATGACTTCAAGTATACCACTGTTTATAATTACATGCTAAAAAAAATTACATGTAATTGTGGAACAGCCAACAATGCTCGCTGTCCGATGTGTTTTTGGGTTTTACCGCGGCAGTATCGCCCTCATTTTGTTCCATGTGCTGGAAGCTGAAGCTCAGCTCCTGAAGATGCTCCCATCACGTGTAGCGAAACATCGGACAGCATGCAGAACACGCAGTAAAAAACCCCAAAACACATTGGACAGCACAACTGCAAAATCCCACACAGTAAGCAGCGATGCTGCTGGGTAATAACCTACTGTAAACAAATAATATTTAAGTGCCATAATCACATTAAATACATTATTCTAATATATATAAAATTTTAATGTACAATCATTTTCATTTGCACTTGTTGTATTCAATCCATTTTTTCTTTTGATTTTCATTAGGTTTTGAATTTACTGGCGTGAGCTAATGAGCCCACATGTTTCCGTAGAGCAAGCGTCCAAGCTTTGCACCAAATGAGCTGTCGGATTTTATAAGGAGCCCACTTTGGTCACAGCGCTCCCTGCTCATCGCGATTCCAAGCCTGCGAAAGCGGTTGCCGTGCAGCCTTGGAGAATAACAGACTTTGTGGTGCAAGAGTTCTCTAGTTGTTCGTCGCTGTGTTATATAATGCATATTACATGTACAACTGAATTCTCCCCATTGCCACAGGCATTGAATGCCCATAAGCTGTGTATAATGGTTGAACGATTCAAAAAGTAAAATTGCAGAAGATGTAAATTCACCAATGCAACCGAGCAGAATAACATTGTGACGAGTTGATAAAGTAAAAAAAAATCGTCATTCACAATGTTGTAGTAATAATGTGTCCCAGTTTATATCTTTGTATCAGTTTATAATCTCAATTGACTGTCCAAATTAAAAGGCAAAAGATGGCGTAATCTAATTGCCGCTTGTTTTAAGAGTTTTTAAATGGTGCCGTTTTTTTTCTTCTGTGAATTCAAATAAATTCATACAAATCCGCGGTCTTTATGTAGATGTATAACTCATAAGGAACGTCCTTGTACGTGTGATTTTCTGGTTGCAGTATTTGTATCTGTGCGTTCACAGAGAGCTTTTCTGCTGTTGTCAATTAAACGATTTTCTTTTTTTTTGGCTGAATTAACACCGTGTCTCGAGTGGTTATTAAGCAAAGTTTTTGTATTTTCTGGCTTCGTGTGATGGCTTTTTGTTGCTGTCGTGTGCGATTGGTCACCCAGAAAAGACCCGTGGAACGTCTAATGACTCGGCGCCCGATTCACAAATACGGCCACCTCGGTGTAAAATTATAGTTGTTGCTGTCTGCAACATAAGCTATAGTAAGAAGATTGATGTAGTAATAATACATTTATGTCTTAACCCATCCCCTTTACCAAACCACACAACTCCCACGACTGACAATTAGGTGAGGTTAGGTCATTCATCCTGCCAGTCGATTGACAAAAGGGGTTTCAATAAAATAAATTGTGCGTCCCTTTTGTCAATCCACTCTTGGACGAAGGTGCTCCTCGCGCTGTGTAGATCAGGGGGGGTTGTTTGACCATACTTCATCACTCTGGTCAGTGCGGGTTGGTGAAGTATGGTACAATCATTGGAAAGATGTCATCAACCAAGCCAAACTCTTGCTGCCTTATAATTGTACAGCCATAGTAGTTTTTTTTGCTTTCCACACACTGCTTGCCTGCAACCCACCGGCGTACATAACGAAAGGCGGCGTAATCTTTGCTCGCTTATCTACTTACGCCATCCACATCACAAGGCCTCTGCTGCAGCTCCAGGCTGAGTCGCAGTTGCAGGTTCTGGTCGTCACCTCGCCAGCTTAACCCCCCCCCCAACGGCCCATCCTGGCTCCACCAGTATATAAGGTCGTGCATCTCATAGCTCTCTTCACTTGATACAGTAATTTTGCTGTGACGGTTCCACCTGAAGGCGGAGGCTTGTGTTGCCTCCGAAACGTCGTGATTTAATTTATTCGTTTTCTTTTTAACCTACGTGACTTTACCGAAAAAAAACAAAGAGTAAGTATGGTTCGGTAGCACTGGGATGGGTTATTGCTCGCCACTGATGTTCATCGTGGACGGGAATCAAACTCAAGTCGCTGGGTTCACTTACCAATGTGCTACTGCTTCGCCCTCTGAAGCATGACTGTGTACCGTTCCATATCCCTATTTTCTCAGTCATCAAATGTCCCCAGAATAATCACTAGTTGGGGCCAAATGATGGCATCGTCATTATGACAGTCACATGAAAATTACTGCAATTACGTGAAACGATTGAAAAACCAACAAAGAAGGCTGAAAAACTCCGCACGCAATAAATACGAGCAAAAGCTGCGTACAACAAGTTTTGCTGAACAAAAGAATACGATTGTTGGATTGACACACCTGGAAGGCAGCAGAACATGGACACATTGGGCAATAATTGAAAGCGGTAAAGGTGCAGCACTGCAATTCTTGTCACGCCACCGCTGGTGGAAGAGCCTCATACTATCCCATTCTATTCTACGCTGCCGAACATCTTGGAAGAGGTGGGAATACCCACACTTTACCCGACCACACATCCCTCATCAAATTGTGGTGTGCCCATTAATACTGCTGAGTGGACAGAGGTGGGTGGGGGGGGTTAATCAACTTTCCCATTCCACTGCCGTGCCAGGAGATCGAAATGCCCACTTCTCAGTGCCGGATTATCCTTGTAGCAAAAAGTAGCTACATATGCTGTGGGCCCCGCACTTTCAAGGGCCCCGCGCTAAATGCTTTCAAGCTATCAATTACCGGTTCAGTGATTCTGCACTTGCTCTATTACTATAGTACTATACCGCCTTCAACTTTCGTGAACGACTGGGTGTTTGAGGTTAGCGATTTGTAGTATTTTCTGTCTGTATAGCAAATAAAAAAAATACAATTACTTTACTATGCAAGTTCAACATTTGTGTTTTCATATTTACGTGTTTTATTTTATAATTTAGGGCCCCTTTATAACATATCCTACAGGCCCCGCACTAGCTTAGTCCGGTACTGCCACGTCTGTATTGCGAGTCCAGTGAGATAACCATTACGTCACGGCAGCATCCCGTGAAGGTTGATTGGGATTAAAATTTGACTTTAAGGGGCGAACTCGAGTAGGAAGGAATCCGTTTCTTAAGAGAATTTGGTCATTAAAACGAATACACCGTTGTGCCTGAAGTGTGTTTTAAATCACTGCATACACGTAGTATCTGCTGAAGTATGAATCGGAATAACAGACACTGGCAAAGAAGGCCTCGACCAAGCAAGCCATCGTCAACTCTCACGATCTTGCGATGTCACGACAATCCACCTTGCACCTGTTCACGTGACCCGATTTTATTGCTCGATCGACCCCGTGGAGTCTTATCTGGCGCATTTTATCCCTTGGCAGTGCATCTGAAATTATAATTAAGCATAAGGGCAGTTCTAATTGCAAATAATAGGATTAAAACTATTTATCCATGCATTTGCATTACCCGTGACACCCTCTACCGACAAAACTCAGCTCAGTTTTGTCAAAAATTGCCGTACTTTATTTCCTCTTTTGTCAAAATTGCCGTACGTTATTTCCTCTTGGGTGCTGTTTGAAAATGTTTCCTCATTTGCGTACTTTGGAAGCTGTGATTGATGCGCAGGCAGGCAGAGGGTTTCATGGACATATTATGTAATCACCGCTTTGATCAAAATAGCACTTCAAACCACTCAAGTGCTTTTGACTGGAATCTAATTATACTTGTGCTCCCATTAGGTAGTTCCTGTGCAGTGTTCACAGTGTGCGATTTAGTCTCCTGGCACTATGTTCTTCATGATGATACATTTGGGTACCTGCTAAGTGAAAGGGAAACACTTTGGAGCGTAAATGCGAACTTTAGTCTAGATCTGTCAACCCGAAGGGTTAAATTCAGTGAGACCCCAGCTGAAACATATTGAGAAAATACCAAAGGAACTGAGGCACAGAAACATTAAACTTTCATGCAGTCAAATTTAAATTCACCGTGTAATGAGCTGCATTATATTGTGATTTTTACATATATATGAATGTGCACTTATTCTGTTCAAATAGAGACATGTAATGCTATCTAATAATCAGTGATGTATACTGCTACATTTATATTTGTAGCATAAACAAAACAACACAAGAAATGTAGCCATAAAATATTTTTTTATTTACAAAAATTTTTGTAGAAATAATAATTTAGTTTACATATTTCCTCAGGTAACAAGACTTTCAAGAAATTATTTCACCGCACGGCACTTAACACAAATATACTTACAATTCAGTGTATAAAATACATTTGTAAAAAAAAACATTCACTGGCTTCGAAGCCATGTAAATGTTTATAAATATTTCTACTTTTTCTTTTATACCATTTTGTGGCAGCTCCAACAAGAGTCCATTCGGTAGACCGACGCAGGCATGTGGTGCAGCAAGTGGTGTGGCCATGAGCCAAATAATTTTTGGTTCGGCCAGACGCCGCTGAAATTCAGTCCTGCGACCACTGCGCACTGCGCCGTGAGCCAAGTCCGGCAACGATTGCCGATGCTCATGGTGGTGCTATCGCCAGTTCTCGGGCACAACCCTGTCCAGTTGAGCCGAGAAGAACGCCGGGTGGCAGCTCCAACCGCACCAACCAGACCAACGGCTACATGCCGGGGCCACGGCTGCCTGCTCCATTGGCAATGGCAGTGGTGGCGGTAGCGGTGGGATCAGCAGTGGTGGCGGCAGCGGTGGTATCAGCAGTGGTGGTGGCATTGGTTGTATCGGCGGTGTTGGCAGCGGTGGTGGCAGCTGTGGTATCGGCAATGTTGGTGGCGTTGGTGACGCCAGATTGAATTCCCTTCTGGGCTTGGGCCTCCTCCAAACTCACCAGCGTGATGGAGGGGGAGCTCACGAGTGGCTCGGGGCTCAGAAGGGAATTGCCACCTGTAAACAATCAAACAGGAAAATACATGTAGAGAGGTCACCACCGTGCACTGTGAATGGTGAGTGGTAGAGAGGGATGGGGAGTGTCAGAGTGGTGAGTGGTAGAGGAATTGAGTGATACTAGTGAATGGTTAAGGGATTGAGCGGTGAGTGATCGAGGGATTGTAAGTGATAGTGGCGAGTGGAAGAGGAATTTGGAGAGTTATGTTGGGGTGAGCATCACCTGCACTTTCACACGCGATGGGTCTGCAGCAGTCACCAAATAGCTCCTCTGTGTGCTTCAGCAGGAACTCGGTGACCATGGACTGCCTCGACATCTCTGTTACCACCATCTTGGGGTCAGAGGCTGCCCCCTCCACCGTCTGCCTGCTGATGGACACAAAGCACGTGCCGTGATGGTGGTGTTGATGGCTGTTGTGATGAGAGTGGTTGTGGTGGTGATTATGGCGGTGAAGGTGGGCAGTTGTGGCGGTGGTGCCAGTAGCGTTAAAGGTTGCAGTGACACTGGCAGTGCCAATGAAGGCGGTGCTTCTGCCACGTACCGGAGCAGGTTGGGCCCCCACATGATGGACAGGTTCATGCTGGTCATTTTGGTTTTATCAGCATGCGACTCCAGGAGCGACAGGTGTCTCATCAGGTGCTGCAGGGTCCTGCAATGTCAAAAACGCACCGCCACATTGCGTACGTCACCACGTGTGCCATGTCCTCTTTATATGGCCCACCGTGTGTCTTTGTTGGTTGCCGGGACTTGATGTCTGTGTTGGTTGATGGGACTTGCCGTGTGTGTGTTTTGGTTGCTGGCGGACGTGTGTTAATGTGAGTGCACCTGTAGTTAGGTCCAGGCAGCAGCTGGATGACATCCTGCATTCGGAGGAGTTTTTCGTGCTCCGTTGGGGCAACCAACGCCTCCTGCGCCATTGCACGAAACGCACATCACCGATAGGAACACAAACAGCAGCAGCACAACGGACCGAATAACTCGTTTGTGGTTAAACCTATATTCGTGAATTTGCTTCCTAGTGAAGTATTAAGGTTGGCATTGTGACGGCCTCCAAGGTGCAGTGTCCCTTTGCAGGGAAGGCAATAATTGATTCTTATGTACTTGCCCCTGTCATAGAAATATGGAATTTATACCACTGGCTGCAGTAAGAGATAAGCCCTGCCCCACGTGTGTTTGAGCTGGAAAGCACTCTAATTATTTGTGTTGCAATAATTTTTTAAAGCTTTAAAATATGTATTCATCTGGATACATTACGTGTAATTAATAATAGTAGTTTACTAACATCGCACAGTATTTAATCTATGATAAGTATGATTCGATTGGACAGAGCTTTTAAACAACCTTAGTTTGTCCTATGCGTGGGTGTATGCGTGGGTGTGAATGAATGTATACACGTGTGTGTCTGCACATGGGCAAGTATGCTTGTATGTGTCTATCTATCCGTGTGTTGTACATTTGAGCGTTTTGAGTGTGTGTGTGCCGATAACCACATGCTTACAGTAAATTTGTCATATAGCTTGTAGGTGAGCAATGGGTCAGGCAGCTCGCGGAAATAGAGCTTGCAAAGGTTGCTGAAGCAGTGAATTCTCTGCACTATCTCCGTCAAGTCGGGCACTTTCCCCGAGTTGAACTCCTTCCTGCGTGAGTGGGGAGGTAGGGGGGTGGGGGAGTGAGGGCTCAGTCTTGTCGTAGCTCGGCCTCTGAATAGGGTTGGGTCTAGTCAGTGTGCTGATGGACAACCACCGAGTTCATAATAATGAGCAATGGTCTATACACTGCTGAATGAAGGCCTCCTGCAGAGTCATGATTAGATTTCCGAATTGAAATGTTTTGCCATTGTGGTGCATGTCACCACAATGACATTCATAAATTACATGATACGGACTGAAAAGAATACATTTTACATGCACCGTCATGCATATTTTATGAGCATGTATATTCCACGGCGTGGGAAGACCGTCATCCAGCAGTAGATGACAACATGGCTGTACAAGTACATATGGTGGTGGTGTGTGGTGGTGGTGTGTAGTGGTGGTGGTGGTGATAATGGTGGTGGAGGTTCAGTGTTGCATGGCATTACCGCAGCTGCTTGATGTCGGTGGCGAGCCCAGAGCAGCGGTAGATGCCGCTCACGATGCCGTGCTTCTCAATGAGCTCGGTACAGATCGTCAGCACCTGTGGGACTGCACGAAGGACATGGTTGACCAATCACTCACGGTTCCGAATCGCACGGAGTTCACTGAATAGAGTAGATTCTCATATGCATGTGCCGGAATCAAATGTTTCTCTCCCAAATCCATTACCACAAAACTAAAAATTATTTATAATAATACCGGTTAAGATATCACTGGCCACTAATGTGCTAGCTACGGCTAGGAATCGGACTCATAGCGTACAGTGCAAACCACTGCGCCACCGCTCCACCCCATTCTAGTAATAAGGTCGGCCATATTGGCGCATGTATCCCCAAGATTCAGTGCTTCACAGGAGGCAAGGTATGGCAGATAACGCAGAGATTTGCAGGATACATTTTAGTGCTTAGCAGATGGGCAGCACTCACCATCATGTGCCGAGTTGCCCAGGTGCCGAGCCAGGTCTTCGCCGAACACTTTCTCCTGAATCTTAATAACTGTGGGAGGAGGGAGGCAAGATACAGTTAAAAGCACTTACAATCATATTGTCTGAGCAATAATTACAAGCTGTCTATTTAAAACAGATTACACGAAAGAGTCCAGGAGGTTCAGAGGTTAGGGTGCTGAGCTCGTACTGCCTTGAACCTACATTTGAATAGAGTACAGGAAGCTGTGATTTAACCCAAGTTTTCCAGTATAGTATAGTTAAACACATCACAATGAGTTTGGTACCGCACTGAATTTGGCTAACTTCCAGTTCTGAGAATTAAATATATCGGTTTCACTGTGATACAGCAAATATGACTCTTCGAGCTGGGTTGGAGGGATACTGCTGCCCTCTACTGTGTGGACCAGAGTGACAGAAGAGTTTCATATTTGTGACTTTGGTGGCATGAAGGAAAGGGGGGTGGGTGGAGGGCTCAGGACATGTGGGCTGCATTTACCTCGTTTGGTGGAATGATCCGATCCCAAGGCAGACAGTTGAGTGTCTCTGTTGATAAGCTCAACAGAGCCACTGGGGAAATTCCCGATCTGCAGAGGAGGGTGGAGATTGTGAGAGGGGAAATTCGTATACACATTTGTACATTGCAGAAGCAGTGTTGGTGTCCCTGACAAGGGTACACAAAACTCATGAAGAGGTACAATGACATTGCCATAGTACAATGTCACTGGTGAGGTGTACATTGTACTTGTTGTAATATAATTTCCTTGATATAAGTGTCCATGAAGTGGTGCAATATCGGTGGCATGTTGTGCTGTGATTCCATGCGACGTGTTACCTTAAAGCCAAGTTTTCCCCTCCAAAACAGGGTCACCTCCTTGGGCAGCAGCATCTCAGTGATGCATACAATATCTCCAACCTGAGATAGACACGGGGTGGAGGGGGGGGGGTCCAGGAGGAGACATTTGGTGTCATGGATATCACAGGCCTCAGTTGCGCATGAGCCCACGTGGGTGGGAGAGCGACATGCAACGTATATGTAACAAATGGCGACCACAGGTGCCACTCACCTCGAAAGAAAGTTCGTCGGGCGTCTGAGCGACGTGGCGCTCGATCACCTTGGCTGCCGCGATCGCTGGGATGTTAAATAACGCCTCGTCCCTCAACAGCAGGTGGAGGTCACGGTTGTCGACCTGGCGAAGCAAGTGTGCGGTACGAGCGATGGTCAAATATCTAAACTATGCAATGTTACATTAAAAAAAGAAACAGTCAAATGAAAATAATGAAGTTATCAAGGTTGATTTGTATTACTATTATAATTGACCCCAGGTCTGGTGGGGTGTGTGACGAGAGCATACGTGGAACAATGCGTGTGCACTGAGTTTGTGCCGAATGCGATGCCACCCCAGGCAGTGGGAGCAGCACACCTGAATATTTTCAACGTCTCCGTTGCCCTGGAGGAAGTCGGCCAGCCGGGGAAAATGACCCCCAGCCATGGAAAGCCTGGGAAAGGAAGAGTTGTCATTTTCATGAATGGATGAAAAATAAATTGGTAACGAGAAATATAAAACAAATTGTCGTCACAAACACAAATCCGCACCATCATTGCAAACAAAAGTGGGCTCAGAAAGGCACAATGCCATAAGTGATGATGGCCGGTGGGTGACTGATGATAAAACGTGCCAGAAAGGACAACCACTGCAGAGATGGAGCCATCAGAGCAGTTCATGTGCTGTGATGGACTGTGGCATCGAAACAACCCTAAGGCATTGTCGCGATGGCATCAGTAGACTGATGATGATGATCGTAAGGTGTAACCATTTCCAGAAAGGGAGCAATTTCTCAAAATATGTTCACGCATTAATATAATTGCATATGGATGGCTGTGAGCTCGGAAAAAAAAAACACATTTTCTCCACTGAGATAGAATGAAAGTGAACGTTTCCATTAGGGTATAGAAAACTCACTTGGCCAGTGCCTGCACTGCCTTGCTTGCCGTGTCGCCACAGGGTTTCATTAGGCCCGTTCCCACGACCTCCACTCCAGTTTCAACTTTTGCCTGAGGGGTCGGAAAAAGAAAGCCAATATATTATTTAACGCACAATACAGCCACCTTTGTAAGTCCGCTGTTGGATGAAAGCCACCCCCCACGCCATGTCGATCAAGGGGATTGCTTTGACCATACTTCACCAAACCGTGCACGTTGAAGGTTTAGGAAATCTCTAACGCTGTGCGCTTGCCATTATGCAAGCGCTCCCCTCAAATATGTATGAACACAGTGAAGACAACCTACTGTACGTATAGATATGGCTCACAATTACAAATTTATGTCAAATAAAACATGCCTGATAAAAATACATTTGATAAAGCACCCAACTCGGCGCACCCAGCGGACATCTCCAATCGGTTAACACGGCAAGGCGCTTTTTAATGACCATTTTTATTGAAATAATTGCCCTGTTTTACACGATTTTTTTACACGTAACTTGTAAAACTAACGGGGCAAGCCAGATTTTTTTTGTATATTAATATATAACGGGTACGTAACAACCCACGAAGCGAAACAACTCCCACCAAATTTCGATTTAAAGTTTTCGTGACTGCAGGGATTCATATTCATGGCTCTTTCGGTAAAGTCACGTAGAAGGGAAATAATAAAATAAATAAAATAAAAACAAATTCTCATCAGGTGTGATAATGATTGCTTGTGTTGCAGTCGAAACGTCGTGAGAATTTTTATTATTTCCCTTCTACGTGACTTTACCGAAAGAACCAAGAATACGTGTATTTAATTGTTTGGTTTTTATTATTTTATTATTTCCCTTCGACGTGACTTTACCGAAAGAAGCAAGAATACGTGTATTTAATTGTTTTATTTTATTATTTTATTATTTCCCTTCTACGTGACTTTACCGAAAGAACCAATAATATGAACTCCCACCAAAAGAAGACGACCCCCGATATTGGGAGGTGCCATCGAAACGTCGCCCCCCGTTGGCCGATCAATGTCACACGCGTTGGGGTGGTGGGTGGGTGGGTGGAGAAGAAGGGAAGGAGGGATGGATGGATGGAGGGCGGGCGAGCCAAGCTCATCGCGGGACCTTGGCGGAGGAGACGGAGCAGGAGACGGCGGGAGCGACGGACGACGATTGGCGATTCCATCGGAGCCTCCACCCCGCGATGCACGAGCGCCACCTCATGGTCGACGAGAGAAGAGGAGGACCCGAACGAAGACGCTTGGAAGAGGAATACAACTAAAATGTTGTGTAAATATGTTTAAAAAACTGATTTTTGTTGTTGTTCTATCGATGATATCGACGAGCGACTTCTTGTTGCGACTGATTCCCTTTTCCGAAGTTTTTTCTTTCTCTCGCCCCGCCCCCCGTCTGACGTCATCTGTGACGACAGCCCCGAAAGCGATGACGTCACCGAACGGGCGGCCACGTGACGCCGTTGAACACGCCCAGAAGCTCGGCAATCCCGTTAGGTCGGGAAGGCCACTGAACGGCACGGCTACCCCATTAGATCAATAGGGGGCCGTCCATAAATGACGTCACGCATCTAGGCTCGAAGGAAAGCTGTCTCGGGTGTGGACCAATCAACTTCAAGGACAGTGCACATTATCAGAGTTATGTCTTTTGTTTGTATTTATGACTGCAGGTATTGCGGTCTATGCAAACATGACTCCTTGCAAAAAGGTGTCAGTTTTGTTGCCAGATAGAAGGGTAAAGAACCAATTATCATATTTTTACTGGCAAATGAGGTCCCCATAGTGTAGATGCTTGCCCCGAGCTCTCATACTCTGATGGTGCATTGTCCTTGAGTTGTGCGCCTTTTGGCGTCATCTGGTCCAACCCATATGAGACTAGGCTCGAAGGAAAGCTGTCTCGGGTGTGGACCAATCAACTTCAAGGACAGTGCACATTATCAGAGTTATGTTCTTTTGTTTGTATTATGACTGCAGGTATTGCGGTCTATGCAAACATGACTCCTTGCAAAAAGGTGTCAGTTTTGTTGCCAGATAGAAGGGTAAAGAACCAATTATCATATTTTTACTGGCAAATGAGGTCCCCATAGTGTAGATGCTTGCCCCGAGCTCTCATACTCTGATGGTGCATTGTCCTTGAGTTGTGCGCATTTTGGCGTCATCTGGTCCAACCCATATGAGACTAGGCTCGAAGGAAAGCTGTCTCGGGTGTGGACCAATCAACTTCAAGGACAGTGCACATTATCAGAGTTATGTTCTTTTGTTTGTATTATGACTGCAGGTATTGCGGTCTATGCAAACATGACTCCTTGCAAAAAGGTGTCAGTTTTGTTGCCAGATAGAAGGGTAAAGAACCAATTATCATATTTTTACTGGCAAATGAGGTCCCCATAGTGTAGATGCTTGCCCCGAGCTCTCATACTCTGATGGTGCATTGTCCTTGAGTTGTGCGCCTTTTGGCGTCATCTGGTCCAACCCATATGAGACTAGGCTCGAAGGAAAGCTGTCTCGGGTGTGGACCAATCAACTTCAAGGACAGTGCACATTATCAGAGTTATGTTCTTTTGTTTGTATTATGACTGCAGGTATTGCGGTCTATGCAAACATGACTCCTTGCAAAAAGGTGTCAGTTTTGTTGCCAGATAGAAGGGTAAAGAACCAATTATCATATTTTTACTGGCAAATGAGGTCCCCATAGTGTAGATGCTTGCCCCGAGCTCTCATACTCTGATGGTGCATTGTCCTTGAGTTGTGCGCCTTTTGGCGTCATCTGGTCCAACCCATATGAGACTAGGCTCGAAGGAAAGCTGTCTCGGGTGTGGACCAATCAACTTCAAGGACAGTGCACATTATCAGAGTTATGTTCTTTTGTTTGTATTATGACTGCAGGTATTGCGGTCTATGCAAACATGACTCCTTGCAAAAAGGTGTCAGTTTTGTTGCCAGATAGAAGGGTAAAGAACCAATTATCATATTTTTACTGGCAAATGAGGTCCCCATAGTGTAGATGCTTGCCCCGAGCTCTCATACTCTGATGGTGCATTGTCCTTGAGTTGTGCGCCTTTTGGCGTCATCTGGTCCAACCCATATGAGACTAGGCTCGAAGGAAAGCTGTCTCGGGTGTGGACCAATCAACTTCAAGGACAGTGCACATTATCAGAGTTATGTTCTTTTGTTTGTATTATGACTGCAGGTATTGCGGTCTATGCAAACATGACTCCTTGCAAAAAGGTGTCAGTTTTGTTGCCAGATAGAAGGGTAAAGAACCAATTATCATATTTTTACTGGCAAATGAGGTCCCCATAGTGTAGATGCTTGCCCCGAGCTCTCATTACTCTGATGGTGCATTGTCCTTGAGTTGTGCGCCTTTTGGCGTCATCTGGTCCAACCCATATGAGACTAGGCTCGAAGGAAAGCTGTCTCGGGTGTGGACCAATCAACTTCAAGGACAGTGCACATTATCAGAGTTATGTTCTTTTGTTTGTATTATGACTGCAGGTATTGCGGTCTATGCAAACATGACTCCTTGCAAAAAGGTGTCAGTTTTGTTGCCAGATAGAAGGGTAAAGAACCAATTATCATATTTTTACTGGCAAATGAGGTCCCCATAGTGTAGATGCTTGCCCCGAGCTCTCATACTCTGATGGTGCATTGTCCTTGAGTTGTGCGCCTTTTGGCGTCATCTGGTCCAACCCATATGAGACTAGGTTCGAAGGAAAGCTTTCTCGGGTGTGGACCTATCAACTTCAAGGACAGTGCACATTATCAGAGTTATGTTCTTTTGTTTGTATTATGACTGCAGGTATTGCGGTCTATGCAAACATGACTCCTTGCAAAAAGGTGTCAGTTTTGTTGCCAGATAGAAGGGTAAAGAACCAATTAACACGGCAACCCATTAGGTCGGTAGGCTACCAAACAGCAACATCTGAATATTTATACTGGAGGAATCCGATGAGCAATACAGCTCTTTTCACAGATGTCCAATCGGAGTTTAGATCAGAACGTTACAACAACAAGCAGCAATAAAAACACACAATGAGTATAAAGTATAGGAAAATTGAACACATCTATTAAAATATATATACAAATAAAACGAAGCTTTTTTTTAACTTACAGGAAAAAAACATCTGTTAGGTGGCCTACGGTACTCATGCTATTCAGCAAATAAATGAATGGTTCATCATGATCACGGTGTGTCCCCTGCACATTTCGTCATTTGTTTCCACTTTCCTCTGCCTTGTGCTATATATGCTCGAGTGTTGAACATCTTTCTTGCACCAATCTCTTATGTATCGTTAAACACACATACATATTAAGTAATAAACAATGAGTTTAAATCTTGATTTGAAGATTTCGTGACTGCAGGAATCCATACTCTTTGGTTATTTCGGTAAAGTCACGTAAGTGAGAAGGCTTTCCCACCTGATGACGGACGCTTGTGTTGCGCCCGAAACGTCGTGATTTCGTTTATTTTATACCTACGTGACTTAACCGAACGAACCAAGAAGAATGGGTTAAAACATGATTTTTATATCACGCTATATCTAATAAAACGACACTATTAACTATATTACTCGTGTAGCTACACTATCAATTGCCCATTGACGTAAATGAATTAATATGCTGTATTTAAAGTAATATAAATGTAATTCTAATTGTGCACGTAATTAACGCATTACTAAACTATTAAACTATATTCTTTGGTTATTTCGGTAAAGTCACGTAAATAGAAAAAAATAATTCCTGATGACGACTGGTTGCTTGTGTTGCGATCGAAACGTCGTGGTTTTTTATCTTTTATTTTTATAATTTTTTCTACCTACGTGACTTTACCGAAAGAACCAAAGAATATGAATTCCTGCAGTCACGTAAAGCGTTAAGTCAAAATATTAAACTACACACTGGAGGGAAAGACAGACTACTAACACATGCTACTCTAGTGCCTGCGTGAGGCGAAGACACTCACAACATGAAACAGCAAAAACAAAACGCCACGCGTTGCTCAACAAAAAGCTTTACAATATCATGGTAACATAAGCTAGTTTTAAAACAATCTCCAGTAATAGAATTTTTGTTTTGCCAAGAGCATAAATTGGTACTGGACACCAGAAGCATGCATGTGGTTGGGTAAAGGGTGGGTCTCCCTAACTCTTCCATTACGTTTGGTCAGTGTGGAAGAGTAGGCCAAATACTGTCCAGAACTCCCTGTAGTAGTGGAGGAGGCCCTTCCACCAGGAGTGGCGTGAACAAATAAAAATGAACTGCACCACCACCAATTTGACCCACCCGCCAAACACCCACATTGATCAAAAAACATTCCAAATCCCCTCGTGAAACATTGGCAAATTACTTCCAAATATCACTGCCATCAATCAGTTTTGTCACATTCGGGCACAGGACTGGAAAAACACTGATGAAGGGTGTGGGCAAGGTTTTGGGGCAAGGGGTGATGAGTGTGCTAATTACTAGTAATTAGCACAGGGAGATGGTGACCTTGCACAATATAATGCATTGGCTGGGTCAAAAACACAAATCACATCGTGTAGACCGAGTTGCTTCATTTCTGAGACTTGTATATCATGGTTCAGACTGTGTCAAACCTGGATGATCATCCTGTTCTTGATGTACTGTACTGTAGTTGACCTGGAAAATGTGTACGTTTTTCCAAGTATTTTTTTGTAGTCGGCCTGTGTACCTGCAATGCAGTGGCCGGAGAGCCTCGATGTCCGCTGAACAACGTTATCTAAAGTGATCAATTTTAAAACGACGCTTCCCATTGAGACGAATAATTACACTATAACTATTGACATCTTTGCCCTTTGTGATAGAAAATGTGGCCATTATTTGCAGGATATATAATGTTTCTTCCCAAGGGCATCTGCTAATCTATCAGCATTTGTATAGCAAACCTGATCCTGCTGATGAGACCCAGGTCAAACAAAACCAGTCTAATTTGCTTGTTTTAACCTATTGGCTTGACATTCAACGACTGTGTTTTCCATCATGTGTGCAAACAGGCGAACTCGTAGCAGGTTTTAATCCTCATGCTCGTCATCAGCAGCAGTGAGGCTCAGGTGGAGTGAAATACATCTTATTGGAAGAAACGTAGGTCTATGCATCGATTGAAACTAGTCAACACTCCACATCAGTGTTCTTCACAAATCTGCAATGAAGAACACAGCTCCACATCAACACTGAATGGGCATTCACGCATGCCACCCACAGTGTAATGCTTAAATTTCGATTTAAAGCTCTCTTGACTGCAGGGATTCATCTTCTTGGTTCTTTCGGTAAAGTCACGTAGAAGGGAAGTAATAAAATAATAAAAATAAAACATCATAAAATAATTCTCACGACGTTTCGGCCACA